GGTAGGGTAAAGATGGAACACACAGCCACAGAGATCCTCCAAGGTTTCAACGCACGTTTTGAAGAAGGAGGAGAGAACGAAACCGAGGATGGAAGCTTCGAAGACGGAAAGAGAAGGAAGGCTTGAACGAACGAGAAGACGGACGACACAGCGAGAGAGAAGACTGACGACACAGCGAGAGAGCGACACTGAAGAAGGAAGGCTTCAACGAACGTCTTTCGCACCCTAAACCGCCAAACCCAAATCTTAAAATTTTAATCTGGAAATCCCAAAATACCCCTCGCCCCGTAACCCTTTCTCTGGTTTATTTTCAAATTAGTGAGCCAATGCACAGCTGCCACGTGCCGTTGTCAAAACTGTGTCAAACTTTTGTTGTCCAAATAACATTTTCCATTTTTTAAATCCAGAAAGGTAACTAAATTAGATTTTAAATTGTTTTTTAGATAAATCAGTGGAAACATACGTGTATATAATAAATAATTTTTAAAATTTTAACATAGATAATTTTGTTTATTAAAGATAGATTAATTGGATTAAGCAAAATAATTATACAACTTATAAATAAAATAATTCATATCAATCAAGATAAAGTTAATAATGAATTATGTAAAAAAATAGTTTTCAAATCATACAGCTTCATCCTATATTATTTAAAAATGAGTATTTAATATAAAAATATTAATATTTTAATTACTTATTCTCAATTTTTAATCAGATAAACTATATTTCAATTCTACTTTCTTTAACATTACTTATCATACTTTTATTTATTGTCAACTTAATTGCAAATCAGATGGACTCTCAAATCATTGATGAATTGGAAAAGGAAATTACTCAAAGAAGAAGACTATGTGCAATTCTTGAACGACAAGTACAGGCCATGGAGCGTCAAAATGCGCTATTAGCGGCCAGGATTCATTCTTTTAATCCAACTTCAAAAGAAATTCATCATTTATTATGGACTATGAACATTCGAGATGATAATTTACTCAAACAGTGCTTCGACTTTCTATCTGCACATTCATCCCATACAAGACGTCTAGTAGGGATGTCAATACAATATTGTTTCAATAGGTTGCTTACATATCTCAACGAAGCATCTGAATCATAAACTATGACAAATATATTTCTATGTTATTATGTTCGCACTTTTTTATATCTCATGTAATATACTAACTTTCTTTAATTATTTCTTTCTTTATATATATATATATATATATATTCTTTGTAATAAATAATATTAAAAAAATATTACAATTAAAGTAAATTTTTTGTACAATATTAAAATTAATTTTAATAATTAAGGTTAACTTTTTACTCTTTATAAACTTTTTTACAAATAAATATAACATTAACAATTATCATTTTATATTACATTAATAACGAGGGGCATTTTAGTAATTTTCAATTTCAACCAATTAAACATATTTTTTTTATCTGTCACATCAATCAAATCCTACACTAATTCTCATAAATTTTACTTCTAAATTCACTCTCATTTACCTCCACATCCACTCAAATAAACACCAATTAATTCACCCTCAAATCCATCCACTCACTCTCTCCCAATTCCTCTCCCCCAAGTGAGCAAAGGCTTAATGCTTAGGCTCCTCATTTAATGATGAGGCTCCTCATTTAATGATGAGGCTCCTCATTAAATGATGGAAAGACTCCTAAATATTCCATGTACTCTATCCTTCTCCTTTACCTATAAAAGGAGAGACACCCTTTTGTAATCCTTAGAACTTGATTGAATGTAAAGTCTTTTTTTGTCAAAATTGCAAGACTTCTCTTCTTGAGTTCTCACCTTATGAAATTGTCTTCTTCTAGACTTCTTCATATCTTCTCCTCCATGGTTGGTGTAACCTCCTAGAAGGACATCTACCAAGATCATACAACACCAACATCTTCATAATGTTCCTCACTTGAAGCAAAGTCTGAAAAGATCGTACAACGTACTTCAAGCAAAGGACTGAAAAAACATGTCTGCTCTGACAAAGTTGACTTACCCACGACTGTTGTGAAAAGAAAAAAGACAAAGAACAAGTATCAAGGCTATAAACTACAAACTCAGTCTAATGGACAAATATCCATGAAGCCTATAAATAGAAGATATTTCAAGAAGAAAATCAAAATGATAACTTAAGAGAATATCTTAAAAAAAGAGCTTACAACAATATATTCATCCTGAAAAGAAGAGGAGAAAGAGCTCAAGAAAAAAAGTATATCTAAGCTGAAGAAAAGGAAAGAGAATTGAAAAAGAGAAAGAGATGTTGTCAAGCTTCATTGTCATATTACTTACTATTGTAAGAGAGAAAAGAGAAACACTTGCAGTTATTTAGACGGTTTTGTATTGTATTCAAATCCTCTTAGTGAAAGATATAGTCTGAACTACTTGAAAGTAATCGTTGATTGTAATTCTGAAGATAATTAAAACACTCACAACTTAACTCGATTGAGTTGAAGAATCTTAGTAAGGTTGTTAACTACCAAGAGTGGTGTGAATATTCAACACTAGTGTAGTAAAGGAAAACGACAACCGTTATTTTTGCCTATCTGCACCGGTTCTATAACCAAGATATATACAGGTGAGGCAGAAAGTCTTGGTTATGAACCGAGACAAAAAGTGTATACTTTTACCACAGTTCAAATGCAACCGAAGCAGTAGAGATGATCCTTTTTTTTTACTGTTCTTTTTCACCAGACTTTTGACCTCGGTTCCTAGTGAACCGAGGTAGTAGAGGAGAGTCTTATGCCTCGACTTAGAGTTCAACCGAGACAGTAGAGGTGTACTTTTTCATTTTGCTGCTGATCTAGAATAGCTTGGTCCTGCCATAAAGTAAACCATTTCATGTGATCTTTAATTAATTGACTTATTCATCTTGGAAAAGGAAAAGAAAAAGAAGACGCTCACTAGGTTTAAATTCTTTCATCCAGTAAAAGTTAATCCAGTAAAAGTTAATCAGTGGTATTTATTATACAAAATATATATATATATATATATATATATATATATATATATAAAGCATATTCATTAATTATTAATTTCAACATAAATGTTTGTTGACAGAAAATTCCCAACATAATCCACCGTTCCTAGCTTAATCAAGTCTGAAAAAAATAAAAGAAAGGAAAAGCAATGTCAGGAAAAAAACAAATGAGTGAAAGTTATTAACATGAATTGTATCCGTAAAAAAAGAAGTCTTACTTTTGGCAATCCAAGTCATTGGACATGATTTTGCACTCTTTGCAAAGATTATTGGCTCTGTCTTTGTCTAGGTTCCTATAGGCACTTACATGCAACACGTTTTTCTTCCTTCCTTCGTAGGTGATGAAAATATGATTTGTTTCATCCCATCGCAGCAAGAAGTTGAAGGGGCATCACTTTTCTTGGTTAGATAATCTAAGCATGGCTTCGCTAAGGCTTTTTCCTGCTCACAGGTTAAGCCCTTTGATGACTTTGTTGCAGTAACTGTGAAGACAAACACAATTAGCAGAGTGAAGAATGATACAAAGACAGTCTTCATTTTGACAGAGAGGTTTATCTAAGTGATTCAATCTTGTGTTTTGATTTTGGATGGATGAAACACTGAGGGAGATGTTGCTTTTATAGCCACTTACATGCTGCGTTATGAGCTTTCATCTGGTTACCGTTATTTATGACTATTGATGACATGAATGTCACATTAACAAAGTCCCAATCACCAACCAGGTAATCTGAATACCAACACATGGTAAAAAAATCAATTGTTAATATTCCAACAATAATTTGTAACGCATATGCCCATAACATTAACTGGTTGTTTTTATATAATATCAGTAGACTTTCAGCAGTAGACTTTAGTGGCTCCAGTCCAACAGCAGACTTTCAGCAGATTCAGCCAAAAAATCCATAGCATCAGAGCAAAACAAAAAGCTATAAAAGATTAAACTGCATATAACGTAGACCACACATTTACCTTAATTTATCTCAGACTCAGGCGATTAATCTCATGAAAGTCTCTTCGAATCTAAACTTTGATCACCCAAATCTACACAAGCACATTTTAATTAGAAACACAGGACAAAAAACCTAAAAAATGATTAAGAAGGAGCTTGGCCATAAATTAGATTTTAACCTATGCATGAAAGAAACTTATTTCATATTTCTTTAATTCCTTCTCCGATAGGCATTTTTATGAAGAAGTTTATCCAAACAGAGTCAAAGTTAAGTTCCTAAAGGACCAGGTTATGAAATTGTTGGTTGCATCACAACCTTATGGAAAGCAATCAGGTAAACAAAAGGAAACAATAAACCATTACAAAGCCCAAAAACCTATCATCGACTACATGTTCCAGCATAAAGTTCAAGAGGTTAAAACAATTTTTTTTTAAAAAAAAATTAACCTTGGCATAATAGTCTTTCCAGACCTTGCGAGACCTTGCGAGAACCTTGATGACCCCAAATCGAAAGCCTTAAACTTGATCTTCCCAATGCTCAATTCCTCCGATGTGGGGCGCTAGGTCGGCTGATGCTGAACTAATCTCTGCAACCAAGTATCAAAATTATAAAAAGATAATTTTTGAACGATTGGGAAGAAAAAAAATGTGAAGAAGGTGAAAAGAAGAGAGGAAGGTAACCTCGTCTTTGAGCATGTGAAGGAGAGTGGTCTTTGAGCATGTGAAGGAGAGTGGTTTACTCCCAACGGCCACCGCTTGCTCTTCACTCCCACCGCGAAACCCTAGGAGCTGTTAGTGAGAAGCTGCTTCACTCCCAACGACCACAACTTGCTCTTCACTCCAGAGGCGACGCACTCGAAGGCGAGGTGAAAGCCGCGCTCGCAACCGTCGCACACGACGAGGTGGTGGTGGCTCTAGGCGGCGGCAGGGCAGAGCTTAGAGCAGGTAGTGCAAGGAGCGAGGCCACCGCTTGGGAGGGCAGCGGGGGCTCCCAGCGTCAGCCCGGGGTTCTCGTGATAAGTGAGGACGACGTTGGTGACAGAGTCCGGTAGGGTTTCGGCGAACAAAGAGGAAGGCGAAGGGATCCCGTTACGGTCGATTCCAAGGCCTGAGCGAGCGTCCTGGTGGTGGTTCCTGTGTTTAGCTGCAGCGAAAGTGCGTTAAGGATGGAGCGTAGAGAAGAGAGAAACAAGAAAAAGAGAAGGGAAATAGGATATGGGAGAAGAACGCTGATGTGCGTGAAAACACCAGGGGATAATGACTCGGGTATATGCTTAACTTATGTCTAAAGTGTTAGAAAAGATATAAAAATAAAAATAAAAATTTACAGATTTTTATGTCTCGGTTTTCCTTGAACTGAGGTCTATAAGATCATTGAAATTATAAAAATATCATCGTATTTTTTTATGTTTCGGTTGTGTGAAAATCGAAGCGTATAGACCGTGTTAGAATCCTAATTTTGCACTAGTGCAAAGGAGATCTCGACGAGTTGCTGAGTACCAGGAGTTGTGCGAATACTCAAAGGAAATCTCAGCTAGGTGTTGAGTGCCAAGAGTGGTGCTAATACTCAAAGGAATTCTCAACGAGGTAGCTACGTACCAAGAGTGGTGGTAATACTCATTTGTAATCGTGTAAAGATTATAGTGGAACCCTCTGTGGAGGAGACTAGACGTAGATCAATTGGAGTGAACCAGTATAAAATCTTTTGTACAATTATCTATTCTCTTACCTAAACAATCCTCTTGTGAAAACCTGCAGTTGCTCTTTATTTCCAAACTCAAGAATCTTCCAAGCTAAACGATTTATTTCATAAAGGAAGTTCTTAACAATGCAGTACATATACTTGAATAGCATGCTAAAAGTTGTTATTGCAAATTCCTATTAAGTCAAGCCTACGATTTTTAAAAAGAAGATTTGAGCTTGATAATGTGCTATATCAGAAGGATTGCGAAAAGTTTTCCATTAAAACTATTCAAACCTGCCCCCCCCCCCTCCCCTCCCCCTCCCCGCCCCCCTAGTCTTTTTCAGGTACTTCACAGTGAAGAAGAAGACTTGCAAAAGACAAGAGATGAAGAGACGAATAATCCTCAACCTGCATATTTAACTAAGACATGGCAACAACCCCAAGGATTATCACTAGACAATGTTAGGTACCAATCTAGTCCTAGGAAATCTCATCTCACCGTAGTTAAGTGTATCCTTAAATACCTTATTGATTTTACAAATAAGGCATTGCCCAAGGATAGATTTTGTGAGCTTAGAAGGTGTTTAAGGATCTTAAAAATCTCTTAAAGGTCTTGTTTGATGCATTTTCCTGTTTTTCAAAAAAAACCTCGTGCAATAATCGATTATCCCCTACTAATAATCAATTATCCTTCCCTTAAGAAAATGTCATTAGGTTATAGAATAATCGATTATAAGAAGCCATAATTGTTAGCAAAATCTTGAAGTTAGAAATTTTGATGATGCCCAAATCAAGTGTCAAATGCTCAACTTGCAAGAAGATCTTCCTGAAAACTTGTGTTTTGTGTTAAAGCTTTTGTAATTAGTAGATTTATGGATAAAGCTTTATTTGTGGTTGATTCCTTGTATTGTTTGATTAAAAATTTGTTTTCGAGTCACAAAAACTCTGCAATAATCAATTAGCACTTAAGATAATCGATTATCATAGAGAAGTTTTTATGTTTGCTAAACATTCATTTTGGTCTTTGGAACAATCGAATACCAGGCTATGATAATCGATTATCCATAATCGATTATGACTTACAATAATTGATTATCACGATTAGTCGTTGGAGTTTTTTAGCATGTTTTTTTACCATTATGCATTCATTAAATGCATAATCGACTACAATAATGGATAATTGATTATCACACGTTAAATAGCTGAGAACTAATTTTTGGAGGTGTCCTTGAGTGAGATCCTTATATATTGATTTGAGTGTCTCATTCTAATACACGAAAACATATATGAGTATTTTGCTTTGTGAAAAGTGTGTTCTAGGGTTTGTAGAACCCTTGTGTTGTGGCTTTGGAAACTTGGTGTTGACTTAGAGCGAGAATTTTCAATGGAATGTGATTGAGTGTTGTTGCTATTGTGATTGAGTGTGATTAAACGATAATCGATTATCTAAAGCAATAATCAATTATCTCAAGTTTTGAACATTGGGAACTAAAAATATAGCAGTTGCAACAATTATAAACGGCTATATTATGCATTTATTGAGCATTTTTGGTCTGATATGCATAAATAGGGGTCTGTTGTCGATTAGTATAACGTCATTTGTGCTTTGTATGCATTCTAGATTTTCTTGCATTTTTATGTATTGTTGCATTATGCCTCCTGTGTTGTTTTCTTTTTATTTAAATAAAAATTTGCCTTAGTATTTTCTTTACTTTATTTATTTAGTTATGACTTATATTCAGGGGGAGTATTATCTAAAGGTGGAGAAATAATTAATCATAAATAACTCTTTTTTATAATGATAAAAATGGGGGAAAATATGTTTAAAGACTTTAATATATTTATCTCTTATCTATTAATGTCCTTTCTTTAAGTTTTTTATGAGCTACAAATTATGAGTATAGGTCACAAAAAGCTTTAAATCAAATGAGTTTTGATCATCATAAAAAAAGGGGAGATTGTTAGCAAAATCATGAAGTTAGAAGTTTTCATGATGCCCAAATCAAGTCTTGATGATGCCCAAATCAAGTCTCAAGTGCTTACTTTGCAAGAAGACTTTCATAAAAACTTGTTTTACATGTTAAAGCTTTTGTAATAAGTATATTTATGTATAAGGCTTTATTTGATGTTGATTCCTCGTATGTAATACTTCAAAACTCATTTTGGAGTCACAAAAACTCTACAATAATTGATTATCACAAAGAGGTTTTTAAAGGTTATTAAAAACTCATTTTGTCTCTAGAATAATCGATTACCAGCCCATGATAATCGATTATCCATAATCGATTATGACTTACCATAATCGATTATCACGACTAGCTGTTGGAGTTTTTAAGCATGCTTTTGGCCGTTGTGCAATCATTAAATGCATAATTGATTACCATAAGTGGATAATTGATTATCATGCGAGAGAAAGTTGACAACGAATTTTTGGAGGTGTCCTTGAGTGAAGTCTTTATAAAGATGTTTTAGACTCTCATTCAAAAACATGAAAACATATCTGTTTGTTTTGAATTGTGGAAAGTGTGATATAAGGTTTGTGTAACTCTTGTGCTTTGCCTTTGAGAACTTGTTGTTGGCATAGAGCAAGAAATTTACCTAGGAGTGTGATTCAGTGTTGTTGATGTTGCTAAGTGAAGCATGTCATCCTTTGTGAAGATTCAAAGGAAGTGTTCATCCTTTGTGAAACATTAGAGGAGGTGTTCATCCCTTGTGGCCTTTAGGAGAATTGATTTTCATCTTTTGTGGTAAGAAGAGAGGTGTTTCTAAACCCTTAAACTTGTCTTTCTGTGTGATTGTAATAGTTTGTTGGTTTTGTGATAGTGGAACACTAATCTTTGTTAGGATTAACAACTGGATGTAGGATCCTTGTGATCTAAACTAGTATACAATTATTTGTGCAATTTTCTTTCTTCCTTACTTTTTATTATTGTTTAATTTTTCGCTAAAGAAATTAAAATTAAGAGAAAACTATTTGTCAACACCCAATTTTGTCCGAGTAATTTAAATTCATCACAAAAATGAAAAAAAAAATAAAAAAACCAAAATGAAAAATACTATTTGTTTTACTTTTTGCACCCCCAAATTTTCTTTTAAACACTTAATCCAATGGCCCAAAATAATCTCTTACTTTTTTACTTCCTCACCACCCATCTTCTCTTACCACACCCCACTCTCCACATCACCACCCACGTCACCCTCCATATCACATTCCACATAATCTACCTTTTTCATTCACTTTTTCCACCTCATTTTCATATTAATTTTTATATACCAACTTTTCTAATTATTCCACTTACATTTTTTTATCAAATTTTCTCCACCAACTTTTTATATTATTTCTTTCACTTATTTTTCACATTAACTTTTACTATTTACTATATTTTATTTCACCTACTTCTCCACCAAATTTTTATATTATTTCTTTCACTTATTTTTCACATTAACTTTTACTATTACTATATTTTATTTCACCTACTTCTCCACCAACTTTTTATATTATTTCTTTCACTTATTTTCCACATTAACTTTTACTATTTACCGATCTTTTATTTCACCTACTTCTCCACCAACTTTTTATATTATTTCTTTCACTTATTTTCCACATTAACTTTTACTATTTACTATATTTTATTTCACCTACTTTCTCCACCAACTTTTTATATTATTTCTTTCACTTATTTTCCACATTAACTTTTTCTATTCATCTTTTTTATTATATTTTATTTCATCCTACTTCTCCACCAACTTTTTATATTATTTCTTTCACTTATTTTCCACATTAACTTTTACTATTTACTATATTTTATTTCACCTACTTCTCCACCAACTTTTTATATTATTTCTTTCACTTATTTTCCACATTAACTTTTACTATTTACCGATCTTTTATTTCACCTACTTCTCCACCAACTTTTTATATTATTTCTTTCACTTATTTTCCACATTAACTTTTACTATTTACTATATTTTATTTCACCTACTTTCTCCACCAACTTTTTATATTATTTCTTTCACTTATTTTCCACATTAACTTTTTCTATTCATCTTTTTTATTATATTTTATTTCATCTAGATTTTCCACCAACTTTTTATATTATTTCTTTGACATTAACTTTTTCCATTCATCTTTTTTTATTATATTTTATTTCATCTAAATTTTCCACCAACTTATTATATTATTTTTATTCATCAACTTTCTTCATCCTTAACTCTATAAATACCTACATTCTCTACACACACAATTACATAATATCGATCTCTTCTCTCTCAACCTCTTCATTTCATCCCAAAACTCTACTTCATTTTTCTCTCACATTTTACTATTTCCTAATCCCTCTATACATAGTAAATCTCATACCATATTTCTACTATAAATTCATCTTCTTCACCATCAATCTATCTCTTCTCACAACTTATTACAAGCAAAGTCTTACTTCATCTTTCAAATCTTCAACAAGGTACACATCTTCTTTTCATTCTATTTATATGCATTTTGATCATTTTTTTTAGTTTATAAATTTATCCTATTTTCTACCCCAATTTTTATCCTATGCTTTTTCACATTTTTACGCCATAAATATTTCAACTCACCTCTCTTTCTTAATAAAAAGAAAATAAAAAAAAATATAAAATCTTCAAAAACCAAAAACATCCACAAATAACAAACAATTTATCGGCCAGAACTACGTGATCCTTGATTCTCCATCAAAAGTGGAGATACGTAGGAGTAAGGCTAGACCTTGTCAGGTTCACTTCCCCAAAAATCCAAATTTATCCATAATCAATTTATCAAACAAATTTCTTAAACAATTCCTCAAACAAATTTTCAAGCAGTTTCCAAAAGAACTACGTAACCCTGATTTCTCATTCTGAATGAGAATACGTAGGAGCAAGGTCGATCCTTGTCGGACACAAAAAAACTAAAAAATATATTTTGTTTCTTTAGAGTTTTATTTTAGGGGATAGTTAAACATTTTGAAAACCACATCATATTCGTGTATTTAGTTAAAGGTACTGCCTTAGGGCAGGCGTTGTAGGGTGCTAATACCTTTCCTACACGTAACCGACTCCTAAACTTCGAATCTCATTTTCGTAGACCATGTCTTATCATTTTATGGTTTTTTCGTAGTTTTCCAGAATAAACTATGGTGGCGATTCCAAATCTCTTTTTTCCAAATCCGTTGTGTTTCTTTTTTTGGATTGTCGTCCCGTCGCGATTCTGGTTGTGACACTATTAAAGACACACTTTTACAATAAGAAACCAATTCACTCCCTCTTGGTTTATTGTTCACACTAATCATTCCGCTGCACTGCTATAACAGGATGAAGATTAATATGTGTACTACTTACATTAGAAGGTCTAGTTATTTATATAATTTATAATTTTGGGATAAATATGTTTTTTTTAAACATAAAATTAAAATTCATTCTGATGAGAGTTTGGTTTCAAATTTTAGAAATGAATAGATATAATCATTCTAACCTAATTCTAAGAAACTCTTTTGTCATGTTAAACTACATTTTAGGTTATATTTGAATTCTTTATATTATTTGATAGGTTTCAACTTAAATCTTATCCTATAATATTATTTAATAGGTAAAAGAAATTAACATTATTAGAAAAAATAATTATATCTATTTATTTTAAAGTTTGAAAATCAAAATATATCTTTGGGTTAAATATGCTTTTAGTCCCTCAACTATCAAGCGATTTTGTTTTTCGTCCCTATTTCAAACTTTGTACGTTTTGATCTCTCTCCTTAAGGAAACCATAATTTTTTATCATCCAAAATAAACGGCGTTAAAAATTAGGTGAGGTGGATAACGTTTGGCCACGCTGGAAACTTTGAAAGTCTCTCTCTACAACATTTAATATTTTTTAATGCAAAGTCAGTGGTGACAGACGAAGGTAACGTTTTACACAGCTCCAGCGTCAACACCCCATTCACAACTGTGACCACCACCAGGATTACCATCGGGAATATTACCAGCAATACCTCCGATTTTACATATGTCCGCCACTACAATAAAAACGCGTATTACCGAAGGTTAATTACCGACGGCCTTCAGGCCTTCGGTAATGTATTGGTTAAATTAAATTACTAAGGCTTTTTGCTCTTCGGTAATATCTTCGATGCTTTAACTTCAAAATTTGAGCATTTCTTCTTCAAATTTCCCAAAAGTAGAACAACCTCCCTCCCTTATGTCGAAACTCACTCCTTGAGTTAGGGTTGCGACCTTCGTGGCGGTCAGCCGGTTCGATGTTGTGGTTTGATGGCGCGAGTTGGTGGTGTGGACGCTGACGGAGGTTCGTTGTTGGGTGGCGCTCTTCCATTTCCTACTCTCTGTTCGAAGCAGTTTTTTGGTTTAAAGCGTGGGTTGTCGTCCTAAGGCGGTTTGAAGTGGTTATTGTTGCGGACGCTGACGGCGGTTCGTTGGTGGCTGGTTTGTGGCTAGGGTTCGGGGGTTTTGGTCCTTGTGAGTGTTGNACAATATACCACAAATATGCCATTATATTATATTTAAATAAAATACACCACTTCTTTTCCATTCGTGTACCTTCTCTCTGGATCTTGATTCGTTGAAAAACTTTTTGACGATTATTTTTATCTTTGGTTTCTTAAATTTAAGAAAAGAAATGATATTCTTAACTTAATTAGTTTTATATAACATCTTCCTATGGTATCTCTCATCAAATTTTCTTAAAAAAAAATCTCCAACTCATTTTAATCATTAAAAAATAAAGAATTATCCATTCTCTTTTATTTTCTCTTCTTATTAATAACAAGATAATCTTACTAATCAAATATTGTATCCAATATTATTTTATTTTGTAGGGTTAAATATGTTTTTAGTCCCTAAACTATTGGCCGTTTTTGGTTTTCGTCCTTCTTTCAAAGTAAGGTACAATTTGGTCCTCATTCTTTTCAAAACGTTCGTTTTAGTCTTCGGAACTTTGGTTTTAGTCCTCATTTTTTGCTAAATGAGGACCAAATTTTTAAATAGTGTTTACTTTTCGAGGACTAAAACGAACGTTTCGAAAAGAATGAAGACCAAATTGAACCTTACTTTGAAAGAGGGACGAAAACCTAGTTTAGGGACTAAAAACATATTTAACCCTATTTTGTACTACAATTTTACTTATTCAGAAAAAGTAAAAATCACACCAACGGATTAAGGACTAATATTGTTTTCCGAAAGGATTTTGAAATGAGCAAGAATATAAGTTATTGTATTCCGAACTTGGGAGTTTCTTTCTCTTTCTGCCCCCTCATGTTTTCTTCATACACCCCAATAAACAAAGTAAAAGGCAAATTTACCCTCATCTTTTTCCCTTCTCTCCAACCGCACCTTCGTACCTTCCTCCACCTTCTTTAGCATTAATGATATTATTAATGATATTGTCCATAATTGCGCATTTGTGCCTGTAATTCATAATACAAATTTGTATTATGAATTATAATATGTAATATAAGTTTGTATCATGAATGATACAATTTAGAATATAATTTAAAATTTTAATTATTTTTAAATTTGTATTACGAATTTTAAAACCTAAAATGTAAATTTGTTTTATAAGTTATACAATTTAAAATATAATTTTTATTTCAGATTTATTTCCAAATTTATATTATAAATTGTATAATCTATAATATAATTTACATTATTTTTTATATTTTGAAATGTAATTTACATTTTATAATTTTTTAAAATTTATATTATAATTTGTATAATTTAAAATGTAAATTTAGATTATGAAGTGTGTAATCCAAAATATATAATTATATCTTTTAACAGTCATATAATTGGAATTTTAAAAGGCACGGGTGCCCAAAGAAAATATGGAAGTACTGGAAGAAATTCCCTGATAACCCCGGTGGACGCTCAAAACACACAGTAGCTAAATGTATAAAACAATGTTTTAAAGGAAAGAAAATGCAACAAAAAATAAGCATATTCCTAAACGCTGTAGAGCGTATTTTGATTATTGGAAGACCAAATCGAGGAATTCAGAAAAGGGAACCCCGTTCGTTCTTTCCGTTCCGTTTCGGTTCCCTTTTCTCTTCTTTCCGATTGAAATTCCTTTTACCTTCCCAATTACCTCACAATTCCTTTCCCTCTGATCAAAAGAGGTTGGGTCGATCGCTGAACGCAGAAGATGGGGATGAAACAAGTCATTAAAAGCCTCGACGCGTTTCCACGCGCCGAGGATCACTTGTTGCAGAAAACCCAATCTGGGGCTCTTGGTATTCCCCCTTTTGCTCCCAATTTGTTTTATTTGAGTTAGTTATTTGTTTGTAACTTTTTCTTCAATTTAATGTTAATTTTTGCATTGTTGTTTTTGTTGCAGTATCCGTAATTGGTTTGATTATAATGGCCACATTGTTTGTGCACGAGCTGGGTTATTATCTTACAACCTACACCGTTCACCAGGTTTTTTTTTCCTTTTCTGCACTCATGAATTGAAATTGCATTCGTAAACAAATATTATGATTGAATAGATAACTAAAAAATGGTTTTGACCTGTGCAGATGTCAGTGGACTTGAAGCGGGGGGAAACTCTTCCAATTCATATTAACATGACGTTCCCTTCTTTGCCTTGTGATGGTTAGTTAGTGAGGTGTTTTGGTCTGTTTGATTTTTTTTTTGGGTAATGATGTGGGGGTTGTGTGTGTATGAAATTCTGAATGTTTGTTCTCTGTGTTTGCGGGCAGTTTTGAGTGTAGACGCCATTGACATGTCGGGCAAGCACGAGGTGGATCTTGATACTAACATATGGAAAGTAAGTTGGTTTGTGGTTCGTAATAATGTACCATGTTTGAAGTGTTTGGAATGTTGTGTCATGTGTTTGTTGAGATATAGTGATACGTCAAAGTATATATTTAGGATGTAGTGCCGAAAGTTGAAGGATGTCATTGAGATGAAGAGATATGTCTAGGCCTGGGTGTTGGGATGTGGTGTGATAGAACCTTGTAATGTATCATTGAGATGTAGAAATGTGTCTTGATGTAGGCCAAAGGTGCTTCATGAGGCCTCAATTTTTGAGATGAGTGTTGCTCATGTATTGTTGAGTGTTCTGTGCTAATTGGCAGGCTGTGTACTGTGTTGTGGCAGCGTTTTATTATAGGTGTCACATTGTTGAGATTTTTAGTGGTGCTGATTGCTGCTGATTACCAATATGAAGTTGTAGTGGTATGCCTAGCTTGAAAGAGAACAATGAAAACATTTATTTATAAATATGTATAGATTCATTGTTTTAGAGGTTAGCCAAATTATATATTCTAATAATTAGGAAATCTTATCATTGTATTTATCATATTAATTTGTTAATTGTCTAATTGAGACACATGGTTCATCATATATTATTTGTGCATCCTAGAATCTCCTACACACCCTGATAGGATACTGGGTGATAGGATAGAAGGCAGGGGAGCCGAACGGTAGGAGGCAAAAGGGAAGCAAGCCGAATGGTGGAAAGCGGTGAAGAGCTGGAGCCGAACAGTAGGAAGCAGGGGGAAGCAAGCCGAACAGTGGAAGGTGGTGAAGAGTTGGAGCCGAACGGTAGGAGGTAGGGGGAAGCAAAGCCGAACGGAAGGAGGTGAAGAGCTAGAGTCGATCGGTTCAAGAGTGACTATCTTAACTGGGACAACAGTTAGGATGGGCGGGAAATAATTATAATAAATAGAGCTATATCGTAGGGAAATATTCAGTATAAGTTAATTATAGTAAATAGAGCTATATCCTAGGGAAATATTTAGTATAAGTTAATTATAGTAAATAGAATTATATCCTAGGAATATTAGTATAAGTTAATTATAGTAAATAGAATTATATCCTAGGAAAATATTCGGTATAAGTTAATTATAGTAAATAAAATTATATTCTAGGGAAATATTTAATATAAATAAAGCTAAATGCTATTGTTTAGGGCATGCTTTTGATTATTGAGTTTGTTAACAGGCAGCTACGCTCTTGTGAGGGAGGTTATGCTCCCAAGTAATTGGAGGAGGTTATGCTCCCAATTACCTTGTTTACTTTTGTTTATTTAGATATTACCATAAAAAAAAGAAGTTCATTTGTTCATTATCATTCGTTCATTGTCTTTTCTACCTACTCTGATCGTGTTTAATTACGTCTCCCACTTGGATACGTAACAATTGGTCTGACCTGCCAGATCGATAGGGAGGAGAAAAGGGCGTGATGGATGGAACTGCCGGATCCTGAGAGGAGTGAAAGGCGAGATGGAGGGAAGAATGAATGCAGTCGAAGGGAAACTGGAGAACATGGGGCTAAAGCTGGAAAACCTGAAGTTGTCCATGGGGGCTTTGGAGGCGGCAATGCAAAAAAATTTCAAAGAACTGATGAGGATGATGGGAGGCCGAGACCGACAACTAGATGACAACTCGGATGGAAGCCAGGGGTCTGTCAACGGAAAAAGGAGGGACTGACGAGATGAAGAGGAAGGCGAGAAAGAGGGTGGTGCATAGGAGCAACCAAATTGGAGGGAAATGGTAGAGTTACCTACGTTTGAAGGGAGTGATCCATTGAATTGGATCAATACGGCTGATAAATTTTTTGAACTACAAGAGGTGTTCGAGGAAGAAAAGGTGCGCCTAGCCTACATCAGTATGGAGGGAAGTGTCGGATACTGGTTCAGATTTTGGAGGGAGAAGACCAGGGACCGTTCGTGGGCGGGTTTGAAGGAGACGATGGTGATTCAATTCGGAGGAAGAAATAGGGGGTCAGTCTTCGAAAGATTGGCGGCCAGCAAGCAATCAAGATTCGTGGAAGAATACATCCAAGATTTTGAAATCTTGGTGCGTCAGACGAAAGGAGTGCCCGAAGAATAGCTGATGGGGTACTTTATGGCAGGATTACAGGAGGGGATTTGTAATCAAGTACGACTGCTTAATCTGCAGGAGTTGATGATCGCCATGAGAATTGCAAGGGATGTTGAGGAGGCCCAGGGCGGGACAAAGGCTGGAAACTGGAGCGTGACAAAGAACCCATCGTCTTTGGAACGAATGAATAGTGAGGAGATAAGGCCTGGGGCAAGTCGCTATAACCCAGTTCGATTGGGAGTCGCCGAGAGTGCGGGGTCAATACAGAAGGAGGGTAGTGATAATAATGGGAGAAACACCAGGAATATGCCTTATTCAAAAGCCCTGAAACGGAGAGAGGAGGGAAGGTGTATCAGGTGTGGGGGACCGTTCAGTCCTGGTCACTACTGCCTGGACAAGAGTTTGAGAGTCGTGATATTGGCGGAGGACGAGGAGGAATTGCCACCACCCAAACCTCCATACCTGAATTGAAGAGGAGCCATGAGATCAAGCTCCCCGGTTCCAACCTTGGGGACAAGGTTGTTCTGCAGCGGGGTGTAATGATAGGATACTGGGTAATAGGATAGAAGGCAGGGGAGCCGAACGGTAGGAGGCAAAAGGGAAGCAAGCCGAACATGGAAAGTGGTGAAGAGTTGGAGCGGAACGATAGGAGGCAGGGGGAAGCAAGCCGAACGGTGGAAGGTGGTGAAGAGTTGGAGCCGAACAGTAAGAGGCAGGGGGAAGCAAAGCCGAACAAAAGGAGGTGAAGAGCTGGAGCCGATCGGTTGAAGAGTGACTATCATAACTGGGACAACAGTTAGGATGGGCGAGAAATAATTATAGTAAATAGAGCTATATTCTAGGGAAATATTCAGTATAAGTTAATTATAGTAAATAGAGCTATATCTTAGGGAAATATTCAGTATAAGTTAATTATAGTAAATAGAATTATATCTTAGGACATATTCAATATAAGTTAATTATAGTAAATAGAATTATATCCTAGGAAAATATTCAGTATAAGTTAATTATAGTAAATATAATTATATTCTAGGGAAATATTTAATATAAATAAAGCTAGATGCTATTGTTTAGGGCATGCTTTTGATTATTGAGTTTGTTGGCAGGTGGCTACGCTCTTGTGAGGGAGGTTATGCTCCCAATTACCTTGTTTACTTTTGTTTATTCAGATATTACCATCAAAAAAAGAAATTCATTCATTCATTATCATTCGTTCATTGTCTTTTCTACCTAATGTGATCGTGTTTAATTACGTCTCCCACTCGGATATGTAACACATCCTTTCATGCTAAGGATTGAATATCTCAAGTGTGAGACTAGATATTCGTGGGTGGTCTAATAACAGGTGGCATGATAGGTCCAATAAAGTTTGCAAAGATAGGCTTTGATACCATCTTATAAAATGTACTATTATGGTACAAAACTCACCTATAAAGCGAGGTTGCATCGACTTATATGTTGTAATTTGATCATATCTCTAGTTTATGTGGAATCTCCAACAGTAAACAATGATTATTGTCTTGTGTCAAGTAAATTTATCTAATAGTTGATACTTGTTAAATTCTTTTATGATTAATAATTATTTACCCTTTGTTTGAACTTGTTGCAGCTTCGCTTGAACATGGACGGCCATATAATTGGCACTGAATATATATCCGATCTTGTTGAAAAGGAGCATACCCATCATAAGCATGGTAATTTCTTGTTCCTTCAATAGCATGGACTTTGTTCATCATTTATGAGAGATTTTTAGTTTTGTATAACTTCAATTCTACTCTAATCTCCTCTTGCAACCAATTCGAAAAGATCCTCATCAAATACTGCCTGTCCAACCCCTTAATAACTCTAGCAAGTCTTTTAAACTATATTATAAATTCAGTTACCGAATTCTCCTGCATCAGAGCACTAGGAGAGAATCTAAAATTGGAGGGCTTGAAAGACCCCTCCTATGATCTTCTATTTATAATGATAGAAAACTGATACAATGAGAAGATAAAAGATCAAAAGACCACCTTAGACTCCTAGGTACAACTCATAGAGTGCACTAAACTCCTAGGTACAAGACTAGTTACTAATCATAATTACAGCAGATAAATGGTTCCCAATGCACTACTTATTACGTATTTCAACAAAAGCCAACACTCATTCGAAAGGGTCTCCCATCAAAACTGGTTGGAAACTTTGAATGAGCATTTTGAAACCAAAACAAGATTGGTTTGGGTTGCACATTTCCCACCATGAAACCAAAATAGTGCATTGCCTTCCATGGCCACCATAATTGCTACCACTTTCTCCTCTTCTTGAACCCCTCTCAAACAGAAAAAGGCGACAAACTTTTCTTATCCATCTTACAAGTTACAACATCTCCCTCAAATATACGAATATCCTTCATTTGTCACAATTCTTGTTTTCCAAGGATGTTGCACTCACAAATTCTTCTTGTATACCTTCAAAGACTTTGGTTCATAGAAATTGCTGCCCTCACACTTTTCCCACATCCTTCTTTCACAACCCTTTTCCACAAGCCACTTCAACTGAGCCATTCGAGAATCTTGTTATTTAATTCTAGCTTCCAAATCCACATCCATTTGGGATAATCTTGCATTCAATCTTTCTTCAAAGCCTTCAAGTAGGTCAATCCTAGTGGCTAGAGTCTTCTCCAATGCCTCCACTCTTGATTCCATCATTCTTGTAGCATCGTGTGTAATAACCCGCAAAGCCTGGATTGAGCTTTGATACCAATTTATAGAAACTGGATCAGAAAACTCAAAAAGGGAAAGAACAGTTGAGAAGTAAACCTAAGAGTTGTGTATAAAAGTTTCAAAAGTACAAAATTTTACACATACACTTCTAGCACTTTAAGGGTCTAGAAATCTCCCACTGACCAACTATCTTTTCATATCTCCCAAGACCCAAAAAAGCACCTATATATACAAGCTTCCCAATGGAACAATATAACCAGTAGCAGATTTCTCAACCGTTTGAATCAAATCAATTAGCTGTCTTTTCTTTCTCCCTTATTTCTTCTTTCACAGACCTTTCAAAAATATTTTTCAAATCTTTGAGTTCTTGGATCTTGAAATCAATAATCAAATAATTATGAATCAACTAAGTAGAGAGGGAAAAGAGAAAGATCAAGACACAACAATCTATACTGGTTTGGCTATCACAAGCCTACATCCAGTCCTCCTTCAATAACCTTAGTTGGGAATCCACTATAATGATTGACTTTACAAGAATACAATGACAACCCTCAATTGCACTCCTCTCACCACTCAAAATAAAAATAGCAAACAAGAGATGAACACCCTCAATCTCTTACAAACACGAGCAATCCCAGCTCTCAAACTTGACTATCATCACACACAGGTATACAATGCACAAATTGTATGCACAGATTGTTGATGAACCTGATCTTTAACACACTCTCCAAGGTGCAGATTGAATCAGAACCAATGTAGTCCAAAGTCTTGAATGAGTTCTTGATTTGTAATCACAGAATGAAGCTTAGACTCTCCAAGAACGTTTCTTGAGATCACCTGTAATCAAAGCTCAACAAAATTGTTAGTATTTGAAAATTGTAACGTTATTGAAACAGGTTTCAAGTCACATATATATATAGGATTTTCAAATCCTGTCGGAGAATAATCGATTATGTTAATTGCATAATCTGTTATGCATTTCTTTCTGTTTTAACAGATTATCTCATGTGTGTAATGGATTAACAATCTTAACAGATTAGGCTATTTGTGTAATGGATTAGACTATTGTTTCTGTTTTAATTTATTATCAAACTTATGCAATCGATTATATTGACATTTAACCATATTAGCCATCTATTTGTCATCCTTAACCGATTATGTTACTTATATAACAAATTATGGCTTTCTCTGTGTTTTAATCTATTATGTAACTTATATAATCGATTATAACAGAGTGATTTGTCCCTGTTTAGCTTTCTAAGTGTTCTGACTAAATCTAACATATTATTACACTTATGTAATCAATTATTTATAACAGAAACTAGATTTCTAATCTATTTTAGGCTTGATTTACTCATCGTTAATGGATCCAAACATCTAGCACTAACATGTTAAAGATATATACATTTGTTATGCCATTTTGTTGTGCAAGAAACCATTTAAACAATTAAGCTATTCATCATAAAAAACAGAGATATAAAGAAGCTAAGCTCCCCCTATCAACACAATCTTTGGTACCTGATCTCTCTTTTGAAGGACCCTCTTGTTTGGATGCTGCCCCTGTTCCCTTCCTGTAGTTTGGTGATTACACTTTGCTGCACCTTTCTTGTTTAGTGCTTCTGCATTTTCTGGATTGTTCTTACCCTGACCTCGGTTTATGCTCACATATTCTATTAGTCATATTCTTCTAAAGTCAAACTGTAGTTTAACTAGTGTGGTTTTCAGGGCTAAACATTTGATTGTGTATATCATATTCTTGTTACGTTTTTTCTTCACCACTTACAGCCTTGTAAAAACTGTGAACAGATGATCATAAAGATCATGATGAGCATTCAGAACAGAAGATTCATTTGCAAAATCTTGATGAATCTACGGAAAATATTATCAAGAAAGTGAAGGAAGCAATAAAAAATGGGGAAGGATGCCGGGTATGAATAAATTGCAATATATGAATTATTTTTGGTGAATTTGCGTTCAACCTTCAAAATTCTTGACATTTTCTTTGATACTATTAATCCTATGGCAGGTTTATGGCGTTTTAGATGTTCAAAGGGTTGCTGGAAATTTCCATATTTCTGTACATGGACTTAATATATATGTTGCACAAATGGTAAAATATTAATTTTTTTCTTATTAATCTTGTATTCATATAGGATATGTTTGGAATAGCTGCGAAGATTAAATTATATGTATAATCAATTATTTATATAATAAAATCAGAATCAGTTTTTGTTTGGGTAAGTTTGAAGTGGTTAAGATAACAGTAAGAAATATGAGAAATATTTGATGATATCATCTTAGAATATTTTAGAGTGTTTTAGATGATATTTTAAAATATTGTTTTAAATATTATGACTTGTTTTCTTATTTAATTAGGATCTTATTATTATAGGAATATGTTATTATAATTAGATTTATCAGAATTTGATTGTTAGGTATATCATCTCCTGTTATAAACTGCACTATTCAAAAGCACAAACTATACTCACGACAATTTGTATCAACCTGCGATCTTGTGTGGATCCAACGACTTCTCCAAGATTGTGAAAATCGAGCAACCCTTCAATTTGTCTCTACTCCCAAGTTCCATAAACGAACCCAACCGCGAAACTGATTGTCATTTTTTGGGGTACGTAGTTGTTCAAGGAAATTAATACTGAATTAATCTGTCCAATGATCAGATTGTTTATGTTCCGACCAAATTCTTAAGGGGACCTCAAACTCAGTTCATATGTTACAACCTTACTGCATAGAAAAGGCTTTTTGTCTTCTAGGTTATTTTGTGAAAGTTGTTTTGGCCGTGCCTGTCTATCCAATAGGATCCTAGGTGTAGGTCTTTTGTTAGCTTTTTTGGTATTACTGTTCAGATTGAGTCTAGGTCTAACAAACTAACACACTTTGAACTGTTTACGTAATGTACTTTAATATAGAGTCATTTGTCTCAAGAGTATACAGTACTTTAATAAAGAGTCACGTGTATCCTTTAATCTTTAGTATAAGTCAAATAGTTTTAGCCATTAGATTAGTTTATTTTAATGGATAAGATTTGGTGTATGTCTTCTTTACCTGGTGTTGACGGATCTCATCCCATGTTTGTATGTGTAGTCAGAGGGAGGGTAAGAGAAGCTCGGTTCTATGAAGAGATAAACCTTCTGTTTAGGGCCGACCCATAAGAAAGCTTTCAATCCTGGATATAACTGATTTGTCAAGGCCAACTATAAGAAAAAGACCCCCACTCTAGATGAAGAGCAATTACAATGCTGAAACTCAGCACAACTAGTTGGGACTTCCAAAAACCATTACCACGTATTTGCAAATTATATCCACTCATTCAGGGATATATTTTCCATTTATAGACTTAATTTGGAATACGCACATAAATTTATACCAATGTGACTTTTTTGTACCTTGTATGACCTTCCTGTCTAAAATTTGCTTAGAAAGATGCCTGTCGTATTGATGAATTCTACTATATCTGATAGTTAACTCAGTTGTGATGGCTTTATGCAGATCTTTGACGGAGCAAAGAATGTGAATGTTAGTCATGTCATCCATGATTTATCATTTGGCCCCAAATATCCAGGACTTCAAAACCCACTTGATGACACAAATAGGATTCTGCATGATACCAGTGGAACATTTAAATATTATATAAAGGTTTGTGCTTTGAGCTCTTAGTAACCTTTCTACTTAGCCTAAGCAACAGTGCAGGTGACCCTCGTTATTCCTCCATGCTGCTCTGATAGTTTGGAGGATGCCAATTATCTATTTTTCTCCTCCTTTTCCTTTGTCTAGATTGATTCTTGCCTGCCTTCTGATGAAATGGATTGACAAATATTTGTTGCGTCCTCTTAGTATAGCCATGTACTGAGATCCAATATAAATCCAGATAATTGAATTGGAATTGAATTCAAAAATATTTTCTGAAAGTTCAGTTTTGAATTTTGTAAATCTAAATAATTCAATTGGATTTTAAATTGAAAGACATATTTTTTAAAAGAAAATAGTTTGGATGTTTATAAAAATTTGAGACCAATTTTAAATTTGACATTCAAAATCGGTTTGAAATCTAAAATAGTTTTAAAGTAATACATACATACCTACATACATCTATATATATATATATATATATATATATATATAATATATATATATATATATATATGTATGTATATATATATTTTAAGAATATTTTTTATTTAGAATGAAATTGTCATAATCTTTCACATTTATTAATTATGCAATTAATTAGTAATCTAAAAACAAACTAGTTCTTTATATTTGGCACATGCTTTCTTTAGAACTAGGTACAATGTTTTACATGTCTTAAATGGATGTGCATGTCACTTGTCGCTTTCTAATGAGACCAAATAGTGTATTACTACTTAAGAATTAAGTTTTGAAATGGAAGGATAAAGAAATACCAATTACTATATTTTAGTACAAAATTGTATAACTAAATATAAAAGTAACGTTTGCTAAACATCAAGATATTTTTAGTTGGGTTGGCCCTTGTGTAGGTTTATGATAGATTTCTTTATTATAGGAATCTATCTCACTCGCACTTAACACTCACAAGCACAAAAAAACTAGAAAACAAACTCTATATTATTCTTGTATTCAAAAAATATGAATGTACAACACCACACTTCCAAGGGAACACTTTCCCTTTACAGGAACAACCTCCTATCTATACAAAGAATATCAAAAGCTAATCCTTAACCATAGCTCTCAGCCTTCTTATAAAGGACACCTCTAACCCAACCAACTACTTGCAACCAACCCCTAAATGCCTAACCCTTTCAATAATTTCTCTTCCTCCTCTCATAAACCCTTAATACCCTATCATTACCTGCCTCCTCATGAACAACCTTGTTCTCAAGGTTGAATTCGAAAACTGCTCCTTCATGGTCAGCTCATCCTCCCAAGTTTCTCCTTCTTTTCCACCTTCCTGCCACTCAATCAACACCTGTGGCACCAGATCCTCCTTCTACTGCTTCTTCCTTCTATTCAACACCTTGAGTGGCCAACATATTGGCCCTCCTCCTTGTAAATCTTCTGGCAAGTCTCTCTGTACCTACTGTGTACCTACTGCCAGCTTTAGTTGGGATACATGGAATACGGGGTGTATTCTAGCTGTTTTCGGAAGCTGAAGTCTGAAAGGCACTGGTCCAACCTGTTTAATCACTTGGAAAGGTCCATAGTAGCATGCTGAGAGTTTTGGATGCAGCCTAGTGGGCGTGACGCTTGTCTGTTGGATCTGATCTTCAGATAAACCTAGTCCCCCTCATTTATAGTCGCTGGTCTCCTTTTTCTATTGGCATACTTAGCCATCTAGTCCTACACTCATGCCAAATGATATCTAAGCTGGTTCAACGCTTCATCCTCCACTATTGTTTCCCCTGGCACAAAACATGTTAGAGTTGGTGGAGATCGCCCATAATCTGTCTCGAAGGGAGTACACTTGGCAGCTCCCTAATAACTGGTATTATACCAGTATTCTGCCCAATGCAATATCAAGCTCCAATTTTTTGGCTGCTCCGAGCTAAAACAACGCAGATAAACCTCTAGTATCCTGTTGAGCACTTCGGTCTGCCCACCCGTCTTTGGATGATAGGCAGTGCTCATAAGAAGCTAGGTACCCTGCAGCCTAAAGAGTTCCTTCCAAAAGAGTCTTAAGAATGTAGGATCCCAGTCATTCACAATTGAAGTTGGTACCCCATGAAGCCTAACAATTTCCCTTACAAAAACCTCTGCTATGGACTTGGTTTTTAAGGATGTTTGATGGGTATGAAATGCCCATATTTTCTCAGCCTATCCACCACTACTAACACTGCGTCGTACCCATGGGATTTGGGTAACTTCACAATAAAGCCCATGCTGATATCCTCCCATATTGCTTGAGGAATGGGTAGTGGTTGTAGCAGCCCTTGGGAGGATGATGCTAGGTACTTGTGCTACTAGCAAAGCAAGCATGCTGCCACAAAATCAGTCATTGATTTCTTCATGCCAATCCAATATAGTGATTGTGCTACCTTTTTGAAAGTTCTGTATACCTTTGAGTGTCCTCCGGTAGGGGTGGCGTGAAACTCGGCCAGCAAGCATGGAATCCAGGCTGACTGGGCAACACCAAGGCTGTGGTAATAGCCTCCTTTAAGGCCTTCATAGTAGCTGTGCCCTGTTGTGACCACCTGATTTGCCCTTTCTTCAACAAATCAGTCAACGGCCTAACTATCTTGTCATAGTCTCTTATAAACCTCCTGTAATAGCTCGTAAGGCCTAAGAAGGCTTTCAACTCTTTAATGCTTTTAGGTTTCGGCCAATCTACCGCTGCAAACACCTTTTCTCCATCCATCTTCACCCCCGCTTCTGAAATCATGTGACCCAGATACCTGATGTGCCTCCTTCCAAATTTACACTTGTTTGCAAAGAATTGTTGTTGGGCCAACGTTTCCAGCACCAGTCTGAGGTGTGTCTTAAGCTCTTCCCATGTCCTACTGTAAATCAATATGTTGTCAAAGAAGACGAGGACACACTGCCTCAGAAAAGGCCTCAAAATGGTGTTCATCATGCAGGGGCATTGGAAAGCCCGAATGGCATAACCAGGAACTTGTAGTGACCTTAGTGAGTTGTGAATCCTGTTTTCTTGATGTCGTCCTCCCTCATACGAATTTGATTGTATCCAACTCGCAAATCCACCTTCGAAAAGTATGTTGCACCCTACAGCTCATCCAACAACTCTTCAATCACCGATATTAGAAATTTGTTGGGTATTGTAGTTGTTAGGATATTTATCCTATTTTATCATGATTATATTGTGTCAAGGGTTACCCTATTTATCATGATTATATTGTGTCTAAGATTACCCTATTTATCATGATTATATTGTGTCTAGGGTTACCCTATTTTTCATGTACTTTTGTATCAATTTATTCTTATAAATAGAAGATTGTGAGAGGGATCAATCAAGCCCTCTAGAATTATTTTACAGTTTAATTCTCAAGTTGGTATTAGAGCGGGTCGAGCCCGCTCTGGTTTCTGTCTCGTAATATCTGTCCGGCGCCATAGTCCGTCGTCGCCCGCCACCGTTCGCCGCCGGCCACCGTCTGCCGCCGGCCACCGTCTGCCGCCGGCCACCTTCTGCCGCCGGCCACCGTCTGCCGCCGGCCACCTTCGTCTGCCGCCGGCCACCTTCGTCCATCACTGGCCACCGTCCGGCCACCATCCGCTGCCGGCCACCGTCCGCCGTCGCCGGCCACCGTCGTCCATCGCTGTCACAGTTCCATTCGTCTAAACCCTTAGGGTTTTCTTGTTCCTCGCTGGTACTATTCGTCTTCTTCAGAAATGGCGTCTGGCAGTACTCTTTCGTTCTCCGGAAGTCCATCAATTACCTCCGAGAAGCTAAATGGAAAAAATTATCTTTCATGGTCTGCTACCGTTGAAATGTGGTTCCTTGGCCAAGAGCATTATGACCACCTTGAGTGAGATGGAAGCCATGTGCGTACTGAAAAAGCTGATAAGTGGAAACAAACAGATTTCCAGTTGTGTGCCCTGTTATGGCAATCAGTGGAACCCAAACTTCTTGTATCTTTGAGGGCTTTCATAGCATTTCACTCCTTTTGGAAGAAAGCCCAAAGCATTTATGCCAACGATATTCAACGTCTCTATGACACTACGAACAAGCTTGCATCTCTTAAAATGGCAGACCATGATATGGTGTCCTTCATGGCTGAAGCCCAATCTACTGTTGAAGAACTCAGGATGTTTTTGAAAGTGGACCCATTAGAGGATATAAAAAAGAAACTAGAAAAATTTTACATGGTGTTGATCCTTCGTGCCCTACATCTCGATATTGGTCATCTCAGACATCAACTTCTAACTAGTCATGAGGTCCCCTCTATGGAAACATTGACCACTCGCCTTCTGCGTGCCCCGGTACCTCAAACTCAAGAAGCGCATGAACTAGTGGAACCTTCTGTCATGGTTGCCACAGGAGGAAGTGGAGGACATGACACTAGAGGAGGAGGACGAGGAGGTCGGGGACGTCCTCAATGCACATACTGTAAAAGGATAGGTCATACTCAAGAGAATTGCTACTCCTTACATGGTTTCCCTTCCTAAACCGCCAATATTTCGAAGACTGAAACTTCCACTTCTATGTTTTATGAGGATGAATATCAAGAGTATTTAAGGTTAAAGTCTAATAACTTGGCACAACCATCTCAATCTTCCAGTACATCAACCGTCTGCGTTTTTCAATCTATGGAAGGTCAAAATTCATGGGTAATTGACTCAGGTGCTTCTAATCACATTTGTGGTAATACCTCTTTGTTCTCATCTATTTCCTTTCGAAAAAAACCTCATTTTATAACCCTTGCAAATGGATCTAAAACTTCCTCCAAAGGAGTCGGTCATGTTTCTTTGTCTCCCTCCCTCAATTTCAACTCAGTCTTTTTTGTCCCTAATTGTTCTTTTAGTTTAATTTCCCTAAGCTAGTTGACCAAAATGTTAAATTGTTCAATAACCTTTGATCATAAATCTTTTGTTATACAGGAGCGTGGTTTGGGGAGACAGATTGGAGAAGGATATAAAGCTGGCGCATTATACCATTTTGGATCTCGTCCAAGGGTGTCTTGTGTTGTTGCTCCTAATCCTAA